AGGCTAGGAGGAAAGATGGGCGGGGGGAGATGAGAGAGTGAATGAGGCTGGGGGAGTCAAGGCACGGAGGGCATGATGGACTTACCCAGGAGAGAGGCTGGAGTCTTGTGCAGGCCCAGGGAAGCACAAGGAGGTCAAATGTGTTCTATTTAATAAATGACATGTTCACTTTTCCTAACTCATAATACACAGCAATGTTTTGTAAATTATACCTAGTTTAAAGTCATTATATAATATTTAAGATATGTAAAACATATAAGGATGACAGGTACCCACATGTATACCTTACAGTATCATCCATATAATATGAATAGAAAGTACCAACAGAATCGAATCCCACCTTTACCGTCTCAATTCTTAAGAGGCTGGAGGTATCCATGGAAAGAGTAGGATTATGAATTTAACATGGTATATGTGGGTTGAAACAATTTGGATTCTGCCAATTAAATGTATATATTCACAATCACTTAGAGTAAATAAGGAAAAAAAAGCATACAGGGATGGCTGGAGAGATGGCTCAGGAGTTAAGAGCACTGACTGCTCTTGCAGAGGACCCAGGTTAGATTCCAGCACCCACATGGCAGCTATGAACCATCCTTAACTCCAGTTCCAGGTGAATCTGAAGCCCTTTCTGACCTCCGCGGCATTGCACGACACGGGTGCACTCACTTACATGTAGTCAATACACTCATACACATAAAATAAAAATAATAAATAAAATATTAACAAAGAAGCATACAAGAAAGAGCAATCCATGAAATTTATTTAGTGTTTCAGTGAGCTTTTGTCAATGCACAGAAGGAAATAAATAAAATGTAAAATCTCCCCAGGGTTATTTCTGATAGCAACCCTACCAAACATTTTAGTAAATGTCCTAGAATTGGATGCATTCTCGATGTATCCAATTATCTGAGAAATGAGGGTTCTCTGTGAGATTGATGAGATGAAACTTAAAGCAAGCAAGGGACAAGTAAAACATTTAGGGAAAATTATATGGCAAAATATGCTCTATCAGGAAAGACACTATGTATTTCTGAAGGGTCCTCTTGGAGCCCAGTGGGACACTGAAATGACATAAGAGTTCAGCATTCTTGATATTGTAATAGAAATGAAAACCATTACTTATTCATAACTTAAGCCTTCAAAGGCCTCTATGCAAATATGATTATCATGTTCAAAATGGTATAATGAAGCTAAGGGTTGTTCCAAGTTGGAGAATTAAAAAGATCAACTGAGATGGATGACTGACAGCAAATAGACTATTTGATTGAAGAGTAAAAGTGGATATACTATAAGTTTATATCCTACACTAATTTTAAAAATTGGGGCAAATTATATAAAGAACAAATGTTAATCTGATCAAACATAAGTGCTTATGTGGAAAACTAATCTAGATAAATCAGAATTAAGAATTCAAAAATAATTCATATTAACCTATTGAGTAAAATTAAGATTGTATGAAAAAGTATCATAAACTTTGAACAACGACATCATAAAAGAGAACCAAGACCTTACAAAACTTCCCTTGATCACACTTCCAGGGATCTAACATTAGTTGGAAGCATGGTAGGTATGACTTTAGCTGAGAATTCTTATGTCTAAACAGAGATGCATTATTTTTTTAGGAAAACACCATTTAGTGTTCATGTCACAAGGCTTATAAGAGGGTCCATATCTACCAATGGGAATTAAGACAAAAGTTAAACTCATATAGATACTATTTTCATGAAAATTGGGAAGAGAATTATCATTATAATTTGTACTTTTTATTGTGTGTGTGTGTGTGTGTGTGCATGTATCTATGTGTACATGTGTGTGTGTGTGAGTGCAGGCATATTAAGCATGCCCATGTGTGGAGGTCCAAGGACAACCTCATATGTTGATCCTCACTTTTCATCTGCCGTGTACACCAGACTAGCTGGCCTGTGATCTTCCAAAGAGTCTCTTGTCTCTGCCTCCCATCTGTGAATAGGAACATTGATATTACAGACATGTGCTACCATGTGTGGGTTTTTGTGGGTTCTGAAGATTCAAACTCAGGTCCTCATGCTTGAAACCATGGAAACGGCCAGGTGTGGTGGTGCATTCCTTTAATCCCAGCACTCAGGGGCAGAGGCAGGCAGATCTCTGTGAGTTCAAGGCCGGCATGGTCTACATAGCAAGTTTCAGGCCAGCTGGGCCTTCACGGAGACTCTGTCTAAAAAAAAAAAAAAAAAAAAAAAACAAGTTAAGAAACTATGCAATGCAATTTGAAGAAGGCGTATAAACTCCACTGACCTTGGAACATCTGCCCATTGACAGTGTTAACTGTCATCTTGACAGAATTTGGCATCAACTAGGGATCAAGATTTTAGGCCCATCTGTGAAGGACTGTGTAGCCTCCAGCATGCCTGTGAGGGATTAAATTGATTAGATTAATTGAGGATAGAAGACCAACACTAAATCTGAGTGGCATCATCCCACAATCTGAGACTCTGGACTACATGAAAAGGAGAAAGTGAGTTGAGCAACAAGTATTCATTGCTCTTTGTGTCTTGAGTATAGATGTGATGTAACCAGTTGTCTGAAGCTCCTGTTCCTGACTCTTCTTCACTAACCTGAGTCTATGAGCCAGAATCAACTCTTTCTTCCTTAAATTGCTTTTGTCAGCATATTTTATCACACCAATGGGAAAAGAAACCAAAGCACACAATTTCTGTTCTGGTTAAGTTCTTGCCATTAGAATACTTACATGTTAGATAACTGGTTCCAGTTAAAATGTGCATTTTCTAATTAGTTAAAATCTTTGTGATAAATAATTTCAGCCTAGAATGGCAACAGTCCTCATAGGATGTGGATCAAGCAGAAAGGCTGAAATCAGAGGAGTGTAAATGTAAAAACTACAGAATTATAAGTAGGACAGTAGAGCTCTAAATCCCAAGGAAGCAGCACGAAGTGTAAAGAGTACTGGGACACATGCCAGATTCTTTGCTTCCTTTCTCTGTTGCTGTAGACTGGTCTTTCTGATGAGCATTGTGTCAAATAAGTTACATGCATGCTCTATTTTGAGCCTCAGAAAATGTGACAGCAAGAACCCCCCCGCCCCCCGCGGGCCCCCCCCATTCATCTCAGTTTTCTCACTTTGGAGCAGTCATGATGATTACTAGAGGTCTGGAGGGTAGCTAAAAGAATTAGGAACAAGATTCTTTTTTATTTCTGCTTTCTGCATTTTTAAAGAAAAAATTTAATTAACTTTTAAAGTTAGTATACAAGATAATGTGCTTCATTACAACATTTTTATTTTGTTCTGAATCACTAGCACCCTTCCCCCACTGCTTCCCCTATGCCCCCTGTCCTAAGACCTCTTCCTGCCTTCTCATGATCCCCTTTCTAGATTCATGACTCTCCTCTCCTCCCCTCCCCCCTTCTTTCTTTCTTGCTCTCACTCTCTCACACAAACACACAGTACAACTTTTAAACTTGGTCCAGCATATGGGAGAATGTCTGTTGTATTTGACTTCCTGAGTCTGACCTGTTTAGCTTAACGTAATGATCTCCAGTTCCATTTGGCTTTCTGCAAATGTCATGATTTCATTTTTCCTCACAGCTTAAAACAAAACAAAACAAAACAAAACAAAACTCTCCATTGTTTATATTACCATGTCTGTATGTATTCACCTGTTGATGTAGTTCTAGGCTGGTTCCATTCATGAATATTGTGAATGGTGAAGCCGTAAACCTGGAGGAACAAGTATCTCTGTGATATGTTGACCCAGACTCCTTTGGCTAAATACCCAAGAGCAGTATAGCTGGGTCACATGATAGTGCCATTTTTAGGTTTTTCAAGGAACAGCCACAGTGATTACCATAGTGGTTGCACTAGCTTACATTCTTACCAGCAGTTAATCAGCATTACCCTATCCCCACAACCTTGTTATTATTTGTTGTCCTTTGTTTCTTGATGAAAGCCATTATTACTGGATGGAGTGAGATGGAATCTCAAAGCAGTTTGAATTCTTGTTTCCCTGATGATTGAGGATATTGAAGATTTTTTTCAGTTATGTATTAGCCATTTGTATTTATATTTTTGAGAATTGATTATTTGGATAATTATCCCAGTTATGGATAGAACATTTGGTTTTTTGGTGTTTAATTTTTTACCATTCTTTATTCTTTATTTTATACACACACACACACACACACACACACACACACACACACACTTAGTTTACATGCTAAGAAAAGGCTTTGAATTTTAACCTTTTTTCACACACACACACACACACACACACACACACACACACACACACACTTAGTTTACATTGCTGAGAAAAGGCTTTGAATTTTAACCCAGGTGTATAAATGGCTTCTCCTTGTTCAGTCTTCACCTACCTCCTTTAAAAGCAAGCATGACTTGTGACCATGCTATGTGTTCCTCTTATGGGTAACAGACAATGCTTCTTTCCCAGGCTGTGATGGCTTTGAATCATGGGTCTTGGGATCACCCCTTTCATCTTCTTGGGTAGGTCATATATCTCAGGAACACTTCTGTCCACATTTCCCACAGCAGACCTTGGTCTCTCCATAGGGAGATGTCGCAGAAAGGAATATCTGAACTATGTAGCTTCTCAGCATCACATAAGAAGGAGGCAAGGTGTAGCCAATAACAAAAACAAAGACTTGGGGTTTCTACATTCATTTATTTCCACTGATGCATTTTTAACTAATTACAAGATGCAGCAGCTCCAGCAATCTGGAGCATATATATTTGGCAAATAAAACAAATATTTTAATATACAATTTCAACTATGACACCATAATGTGTAAAACAAACATCATCCAAAGCATTTTTATTGATGAAATTAAAATATTTAAATTTAAATACTTTAACAAAATTATAATTGTAAACAGTGCACAGCCATCCTCAGCCAGTTGTTCTAAAAGAAGGTCAAGAAATCAAATAAAACAAGGATAAAGCCTCAAGGAAAGGCTTATATGGCGAGACTGGATGCCCATCACACTCACATCTCGTCTCCCGATTCTTGTTCCCGTTCCGCATTTTTCAGGAGTGTAACTTCAGCCAGGCAGAGCTTCCTAAGTCTCCATTTAACCAACCTGGATGTGGGGGGCAGGACATAATTTTGGTTATATGAAATCCAAAATAAAAACTGAGAGAGCAATATACAGTTATAATGCAACAAACTCCAGATTATTTCTGTAACTAGAGGAGGCAACTCTAGCTGCTGTTGGAGGTACCTGAATGTTTTTGTAATTATAGCATAATATAAGGAAACAGAAAAGCATGGCTTTCAAATGTGTTACATGATTGTTTAAGTATAAGAACATAACTGTGATCACTTCTCAAACAGACAAGAAAATCTGTGGACTGTGGCACACCCTGATGAATGAGATCAGTGGAGCTTCTGCATCAAAGCCATGCCTAACTATGAATTTCAAAAATATGGGATCACCTTAGCTGAGCTGAAGCCTGGAGTGGAGCCCCATGTCAATTCTGGAATGTATTTCAGCCCTCCTTGACCCTTTAGAAAGATTCTTTCATGCAGGGCATGGATATAACAGCCAGTGATTGTCCTGTCCATGTGAACTAGGTTTGGAGAATATCATCCTTTCTGTAACTGTTTTCATTTTAGGAGAAATTCAGACAGAGGACTGGGGGAAGTGATTATAATTTTCAACACTGGAAGATCTGAAGTTTCTTAGGGGACAGAGCTCAGCAGCCTCTCTACTTCTGTGATGAGAGAGAGAGAGTACAATAATAAGAACTATGCAAAGCCTCCCCCATGTATTGCTATCATAAGTATCAGGAAATTATGACCATATGATTACTATATAATATCCAGAAATATGCAGGACTATGGAACCAAACTTGATAGAAGAAATCCTCAAGGCCATTCTCCTTTAACAGAACACTCACCAGGCCACCCACATCTTGATCTTTACTTTCTGCCTTCCTTTTTCTGATGAATTCCTGTCCTATCCCTGTCAATATATCATGTTTCTATTTGTGTGGTCAATCCCAATAAAGATTCTTTGAAGCAGAGACTTCACCCTGTTTGGCATAGTAACCTCAGCCAGTCTGAACTGAGTCTAGTATATAGCAGTGTCATTTGGGGCAATCTGACAGGAGGTCATATCACTCATCTGGGAACAGGGTCTAATTCTTCAGTCCCTGCCAACTAATACTAATGCCTCCAATGAACTGAGCAGTCTCCATAACATCTGTTGATTCAAGAGCCAGGAAAAATTGCTCAAAATCATTAAGTATTAATTGACTATTGATATTGTTCCCGATATCCTCAAACTTTTAAATCATTTCTTCATGAAAGACTAATACTCTGCAGCAAGTAAAAGTTTGGAGAACTTTTTTGTCAATTTTCAAAATTACACATTATTCCCTGATTGTACGACTTCAATACTGTTAATTTGAATTAGGAAGTCCATTGAGATTAGACACTAATTACCATAGAAAGATGATTCATGATCACCCCTTTCCAGTCCTGTTCATTAATTAAGCTGTGCATTTAACTTTCAATTTGGGGGAATTATTTGAGTTTATGATGCTTCTTTTTTCTTATACTACTTCCATTTATTGCATTTTGTTTTAATCATATATTTGTCTAACTTAGTCCTGACTACAGGACTGAGAATTCCTCATAGGTAGGGCGTTAACTTCATTTTCTATTCGGGGGGGGGTGCAATAAGGATAACAAGAAGACAAGACCATTTTTTGAGCTCTTAAATCCTTAGCACCTCAAATACATGATTTTATTTAGGTACACATCTTTTTCTTATAAAGAACAAAACTGAGAATTTTGTGGCTGAGAGATTGGTCTAAAGTCATGTGGCTGACAGTCAGCAGAGCTAGGAATTTGTATTCTCAGCAATCTGTTATATTGGTATTCATTTGCTCATAAAAAATAGTGAAATGCTCCTAATTCTTGTAAAATGTGTGTCATTCACTTTAAGAGGCACATTAGTGTCAGTGTCAAATTAGCCAGGACCTCAAGTTTAAAGAGACTCTTAAAATTTGGTGAAGAAAGAGTTCCACTCTTAAGAACTCGTGTGATTGAAGTACATATACATGGAGGCCTCAATGCATCCAGGGAACTTATGAGAAAAGGAAACAGGATATGTGAACATGTGGAGGTACCCGGTGTTTCAGGGCAACTCAGAGGTCATAGGCATCACAGAAACAACAGTTATTCCGACTTTCAGCCAGGATGCATTCTTTTCATTGGTAATTTCTCTGTGTGCAGGCAAGTTTCTGCAACCCACTGTCTTCTGTGTTAAGGAATGAAATTTTTTTCAGTTTTTCAGATCAATATAATTGAGATTTGATAATATTATTGAGACTTAATGACCAAGAAATGGAACTTCCATGAACAAAAATCACTAACTCACCAGGTGATAACAGCGTAATTCACTCCAATGATGATAAAGGTGAATGCATAATGCCAACAAAAATATATGCTAAGAAGCATATTGTTATTACGATCCTTCAGATCCCATGCAGGACCTCCAGTAGGGTTGTATAAAATGAAACCCAACTGTAAATTTAAGCAAAACAAAAAGTCACACAAATTAGAATACAGGAACATACCATGAAAGATTATATATTTCAAGATGTTTGATGACTTAAATAACTCTCATTGTCTGAGATATCACAGATAAATTCTCAATGTTGTGACCTGATTTACTAACAGAGACAGTATCCATTGAGTCATACTTTTGAAGCAAAGTTTAAGGGCATTGAATGATCACATTTGAAAATATGAATATTGGGGAGGATGTTGAGAATGTCCTAGATGTTCACACCTACAGATTCATATTCTGTTATTTCAAGATTAGAGCATATAAGGTTTTTAAAATGAATGCAGCCCCACAGACTGCATTATCCTCGGTAGTGAGAGTATGAGCATTTCTTCCCTAGAATCAGGACAAGAAATAAAGTTCTGTTTTCATCACTGCTATTCAGCATTGTAAAAGAAATTCCAGCCAGCAGATTGAGCAACAGAAATAAACAAAACTGAGAAAGGAAGAAATAAAACTGCTCATATTTACAAACAACATGATCTTAGCTATAGCAAACTCTGAAAAATCTTCCCTTAAAGGGTAATAAATGAATTTAGTAATATCTGCAAGTACAGAATCAATAAAAAGTCATTTATATTTTTTACATACAAACAACAAATAACCCCCAAATGAATATAGGGAAATAATTCCATTGCAATAGCATTAAAATTCTTAAGATTTAATAAATTTTAGCCAGAAGATTTATGATGGAGAATGTAGCTCAGTGGTATATTGTTTGCTCACTGTGGCCTAGGCTCCAAGATAGATTCCAAGTACCCCAAAAAATAAAAAATAAATTTAAAAAGGGCATTCAGGACTTGTAACCAAAGCTGTACAACATTATAGAAATAATGAACAAAATGGAAAGATGTGAAATGGAAAGCCGTCACATTTCATGCATTGGAATTATTAACTAATTAATATTATCAATTAATATTGAGATGCCAGTGCCACTAAAAACAATCTAAACATACAATGCAATACCTGTTGGAATCCAAATGTTCTTTTAAAAATATTTCAAATTAAAAATACAGTTTATTTTGCTGGGCATGGTGGTGCACACCTTTAATCCCAGCACTGGGGCGGAGGCAGAGGCAGGTGGATATCTGTGAGTTTGAGGCCAGCCTGGTCTATAACAAGTTCCAGGTCAGCTGGGGCTACGGGGAGACATTGTCTCCATATCACAATGTGTGTGTGTGTGTGTGTGTGTGTGTGTGTGAAATATATATTTCATTTTGTGTATATAAACACAGTTTACATATTAAATGACATTGTAATAGAATGATTTGATATACTTAAAGCAGAAGGAAAAAGGAAAAAATTTTCAGTTTACCAAACTCCTACCCCCAAAACAAATTTTTTGAAAAGTCACTTTTATTAAGTAGGTCAATGTAACAAATGTATTCTGTGACTAGTCACATCTAATTCCTACTGCTCTGTGACATGGATGTTTCTCTGACCCTGTGATGACAAGCCATGGACCCGCCTCCTTCCCATGCTCTGCAAAGAAGCCACTCCCCTTCCCTCTTCCAGCCAATCGGTTGACCATATCCACTTGTAGGGCAGGGGCTAAGGGTATAAAAGCTGGGAAAACCATGAGGCTGGTCTCTCACCATTTTGTAAGGCTATCTAGAATCACAGGATTTATGTCTGGGTATGGACTTTCAGCATCAGCTGTGAATGAGGAGAGGAACCTGCTTGTCTGTAAGTAAACCTGTACCCCAAGCTCAGTTAGCAAGTCCAATAAAGTCGTTAAGATTCTTCAAACCAGGGTTTGGAGAATTCTTTCCTCAGGTTGGCCCAAGGACCATGGGAAGAGGGGATTGGATGCCACGTGCACCTCCCAGCAGTGAATTTGACTTACAATTGGTGTAGCCCAGCAGGATACGATGAAACTGAGAATGAGTTTTGGAAGAGCATTGATGGTGTCCCTGATATGGGGAAAGAGACCAACAACCGAAGTAAAGTGGGCTGAAGGGAGAGTGTGGACTGAGGAAATGTTAACCTGGTGGGCCATTCCCATAGGTTTGGTGGGGGTGGCTGCAGGGGCATGGTTAATGCAGTGGACAGTGAGATATGTAACTAGGGTGAGGCTTTCTAAGCAGTTGAGGTCAACGGGTGAAATCCTGGGGTAGCAGTCATCTTGTAGATGGTATGGGGTGGAACGCCTGCTTGACTGGTGGGGGCCACCACGTGAATATGGAGATGACTTGAAAGCAGCAGAAGGTCTAGAACAGATTCTGCAATCTCTGGGAGTAGCACACCAGGGACAGAAATGTCAAAAAGCAGAGGCAAAGGCCGCTTGGCAGCTGCTATTGATAAGAAATCTGTCCCAGGCAGAGGCCTTAGGCAGAAGGGAAACTGAAGGTATTAGAGAGGAATTAGAATGGGAGAGGGATATGAGGCTGGCCTCTTTGGTACTGGCTTGTGACCTTGCTGGTAAATTAGATAAGAGGGAAAAGGAGATGGAGGTGTTTGCATACCATTTTTTGCATCTAAGAGGTCAAAAGGGAAAAAAAGCCCAGATCAGAATGATAATAAAAGGCCCATCCTCGGATCCTAAAACCTGGAACCCCTAGAAGAGTAAGGTAGTGAGGAAGAAGGAAGTGACCTAGAGATACTGGGAGATGCTCCTTGGGTCCGACCTTTAATTCAAAGAAAGGGAAAATCCATGGTCCAACATGCTGATGGAGGGCTCAACAATAGCCCAGTGCAGGAGACCATACTCAGCACCAGAACTATTAGAACTGTGAAAGACATTTAAACAAGCTATGAAGGAGCCTTTGGCCACCTGGCTTGTGAGGCTATGGGACATGGGGGCAGATGGAATCATTTTAAGTTCTACAGAAGCAGAGAAGTTAAGCAACATAACCACTCATCCCTCTTTGAGACAAAGACTTCACAATTTAAGGTAACATTAGGGAAACCAGTTCATGATGGATTGGCTCACATGAGCCATTCGGGATATGTGGGTATTTCCAGCTGAGATTCCCATGAATATTAGAGATTGGAAAACCATTGAGAAAGGACAGGCTCTGTTGAGTGAACTGGGCATGAGGGAAGGTGTACTTGATGCCAAGTTCACTGGCCCAGACAGGACTGTGTTTACAGGAGACTTAAGAAAGAAACTGATTCAGCAAGGCCCATGAGACTGGTATGGAGCTTTGGTGGCAGTGCTAAACCCCATGGTCGGGTGTGACCTGTATGAGGCTGGTGAGGCTCTGGTGGATTTAAATGATTTAGACCAACATGGAAACAGGGTTCAAAAGGTGCTAAAGTTAGTAGACACAAGGGAAAAGGGCCAGAAGTCAGCAAAGGGGCCCCTCCGTGTCTCCTGAGCACAGATGTGGGTGGATCTGCACAGAGCAGGAGTTGCTAGGGACAAGATAGGCAGACAGTCATACGCTGTGCTAGTGAGCCTGTGGAGGGCTTTAAGACCTGACCAGGAATTCACCACAGAAGTAAGAGAAACCTGGGACCAGGAGGTGCGGGTAACTCCAACTGCACCCCCTGCTCCAGAAGAAGGCAGCCTTATTGGATGGGACCCCCCCCCAATCACTGCCTTGAAGGGGTGGCCAAGGTTGCCCACAGGTGAGGGCCGTACTGGGTGACTGGAGGCCACATGTCAAATTGAGGATTTATTGGTCTCCCACTAATATACGAAACACATGGGCCCTAGTGGATACTGGGGCAGAGTGTACGTTAATTCACGGCAATCCCCCAAAACATCAGGGCCAATGGATAGCAGTGGATGGGTATGGGGATAAAAGCATACAAGTAAAGCAGACTAGACTCATTCTGGGAGTGGGCAATTATCCCCTCCAGGAGTACAAGGTATACATCACTCCCCTTCAAGAGAACATTTTAGGGGTGGATGCCCTGCTGGGTCACACCCTACATACTACTGTGGGGGAGTTTCGGCTGAGGGTGTGAACAGTAAAGGTGATTACTCAGGGGTGGGCAAGATGGGAGCCAGTCAAATTGCCCACCCCATGGAGGGTGGTGACTATCAAACAGTACAAGCTGTCTGAGGGTTGAGATGAAATTACTGAAACCATCCCGGAACTAGAGCAGGTAGAAGTTACCCTCCCAGCCCAGCGCCCTTTCAATAGCACTGTTTGGCCTATCAGGAAGCCAGATGGCTCCTGGAGAATGACTGTAGATTACTGGGAGTTAAATAAGGTGAGCCCTCCGATTCATGCATTCATGCAATGGTACCCAACATTGCATTGCTAACTGATCAGCTGGTGCAGGAAACGGTGTCCTTCCATGCTGTGGTGGACCTTGCTAATGCATTCTTTAGTATTCTCCTAGCTGCTGAATCCCAAGATCAATTTGCATCCACATGGAATGGATGACAATGGACTTTCAGAGTACTTCCCCAAGGTTACCTCCACAAGCCCACAGTTTGTCACAAGATGGTGGCCTGGGACTGGCCCTGTTACCCTACCCTCCTGTAAGGAGGTTCCATTACATAGATGACATAATGCTAACTTCTGAGTGCCTTACAGATTTGGAAGCTCATTTGGGGAACATGCAAGTGCACCTGAAGGAGGGAGGATGGGAAATCAACCCACAAAAGGTACAAGGGCCCGGTACAGCAGTAAATTTTTTGGTCAGGCAGAATGGGCATGATACCCAGTGCGGCGGTAAAGAAAATCTTACAACAACCCATATCAATAAATACTAAGCAGTTACATGTATTTTGGGGACTTCTCAGGCATTGGCGAATTTTTATACCTCACCTTGCTCAGGTTTCCTGTCCCCTGTATAATCTAATAAAAAAGAGGTGCTACATGGGATTGGGATGTAAAGGCCCAAGAGGCTTTTGAGCAGGTCAAGTTACTGGTTGGGCAAGCTAAGCAGCTGTGTGCCCCAATACCTTGGTGTCCCTTCCTCTTGGAAGTCACCAGAAGCCCTGAAGGTTATGGGTGGGGCTGTGGCAACAACAACCCAAACAGATGGTCCCAATTGG